TGGTCATTCAAGGCTTTTCTTACCGTTGTTTCTTTTGATTTCATTTTTTTTATGGTGATTCCACGTTTTTTGTCGGATTCCTAGCGGATCGCTCACAGCGGGCTTATCGCCCGTTGCCTTTATACACTGTAGATGCTTGTTCTCTTTCTAACACAACTCGTTGCCTGCTCTTGATAAGCATTTCATTTTTTTTTTTTATAATTGTTTTTATTTTTTTTCACTTGTTGCCAACTTTTTTGCGTAAAGCTCGTGTCGCAGTCACTCGTCGCATTGGCGCTGCGTGCCGGCACCCCCCGCCGCTTCAGTCACAGACTGGCGACCATTTACCGCCCCACGCCCCCGCCCTCGCCCCCGTCAACCGCTCCCAACTGTCGCTGGAGCTGCCAGACTCGCCGCAACAGGTCACGTGCCGCCGCTGCTGCTGCGCAGTTGCGAGGCGAGCTGCAGACGCACAGTTGTAGCCAGGTAATTGCTCTAAACAAGTAGTATCTACTATCTACATACATATACATATATAACACATATACATGCGCACACATACATGTTTGTACATGGGATTCCCACCGCAGCGTTGCTGCTGTTAGTTCTCTGTTAACGTACATACATATGTAATTATTGAGCTATTATTGGCGCACTTCCCCCCTCAAAGGCATTCCAGTGAATTATTTTAAGTGCTTAAGTGCATCAAGTGATTCAGCTTATATATAATCCGATTTTGGACGTGACTTGTTTAATTATATTATTGTATACGTATCCATAAAACTGTTCATTTATATTTATATAATATTCTTTTAAAATCTATTCTTTTAATATTTTCTACCTAATGTTATATAACGTCATAACTATTTTAAGTAGTTTAACACATATTTTATTGGAGCCTGAAATGCGATATATCACATTTAATCAGTATTATATGAATATATGCGTATGAGAGAGAGAGAGAGAGAGAAAGTCAGACAGAGAGGCAAAATTTACGTTGTACAAATCCAAAGTGCCGTAATTAACAAGTAAGAGGTTCTAGTCGGGAGCTCCCGACTGGGGGATACCCTGAACCCTCTTCACCCAACATCAAATGCATATATATATTCTATTTTATAAGCTATATGTCAAGTTTGGTGACTCTAGCTCTTATTATTTACCAAAATTGCCCAAAAAACAGGATATCGATATCGATTTTTATCGATTGCTTGGCAACGGAGTAAGTTATCGATTATCGGAAACAAACTCGATCTGCGCAGGCACTAGGAGCACCTACATCTTATAGTCTTCAAGTCTCTAGCTCTTATAGGTTCTGAGATCTTTGCGCTCATACATACGGACAGACGGACATGGCTAGATCGACTCGGCTATTGATGCTGATCAAGAATATATATACTTTATGTGGTCGGAGATGCTTCATTCTGCCTGTTACATACATTTGGATTTTGCACAAATACAATATACCCTTATACCCATTTTTATTGGGTTCAGGGTATAAAAAGTTTTTGTTTTGATTGTAATTGGTAATTGTCTTTAAATATGAGGCTGGGAAATTCATGGTTCGTGAACTTGATCTGCTGATCTTACGCAAAAATCCCAAATACTAAAATATACCCTACATATTTATAGAGAGCAGGGGCATATACAGATGATTGTAGAAAAATTTATTTTGTTTCCACAAAATACACTAGCTCAATAAATAATTTGATGTTTATTATTACAACAAATTCCACAATTCAATTAAAGTGGAATTTCGAAGAATAAGCCCAAAATCTCTGATAATTTCATAAAAAAATAGATAAGGTGTTATTTGTACATAAGTACAATTAATTTTGTTATCAAATTATAATTTCAACTAATGCTATTTGCATGCCCATTAAAAGGTATTTAGCAAACATAGTATATATATGTAGTTTAATTCAATTTAGAGCAAGATAACTAACTGGCAAAAAGCAAAAGTCATTCAGTGTTAATAAATACCTAACTATGCCAGATATATGTCTATGGGTCTGGCTAGATGGTATATGGCTTGATGACATTGTGAAATAGATTGCTAACAATGTAGTACAAAACGCTTGTGAATTGCGATAAGCTCGACTGCTATACCCTAGACTCGATAGCTCTTATAGATAATATCAAATGCACCATTTGAGTGGGTGTTAATATTAGTTATTCGGTATTATTTTTTGCTAATTGCTTGTTTAACACGCGCTCTTCCAGCAAATCTTATCAGAACTTTCGCGTTTCAACATGGTCTTTCGGCTTATCAGCAGCTAATATTTGCAGACCCTAGGCAGACTTTGGGAGCTACCAATTCACATTGACCTATATATTGGCGGGATGATTAGCCGCATAATAAAACGTAGAATGCAATATGATGAGCTACTTTTGAAGAGATTTGTGGCTTGAACTAGTCTGAAATATTTTAAAAACTGAACGTTTTCTCGTGAAATCGAATGATCTGTATAATAATTAAAATATAATAAAAAACTTGGCTGTATATTAGAAAAAAACCGGATTTGAGACTTGCAAAAGCACTTAAAAAGCAAATATAATTAAATTCTAGTATAAGATATTTTAGTTTTCATTTTAGAGTTGAGTAAAAAGTTGAAAGTCTGGCAAAAAAATGTTTGAATTTAATGAATTATTTATTTGCTCGCACTTTGACGGGTCCCATTACTGATGACCTCCACGAAAGATCGATCGAAACATATGTATTTCGCGTAAGCCCAGATCGCTGACAGTTTGACAAAGTTTGACAGTGACTGCCGAGAGCTTACAGTTGTCGAGTCACTGTAGTCACATTGTAGGCAGCGTATTGCGCAGTCGGTGGCAAAGTACAAAGATCATGTAACTAACATCCTGTTATCAGAAACATTGTTCAATGCCCTCTGGCATTATCTGAAATCTTAAATCTGCAAATCTATTGACTGTGGAAGAAATTACAAGCACATAGTTCACGCATCTTTGCGACTAAGGGGGCGTCCTATGAAATAGTTGTTGATAAGCTCGAAAAGCTGTGGCTGATAAGCTCCGGAACCGCTTATCAAGAAACTTTTCGCTCAGCTAACAAAACAGTTTTCTTATTGTTGTTGCTATTGTGAATTGCATTTCAAGTGGTAGAATTGAGTAATACCACTAACCATACAATGCATCAATGTATCTGGGCACACTTAAATGTTCTTAGACACCCATGGGGCTGAGTCGTTGCGACGAATCTTGATACGATTAAAACGCTGTTTGGTGTATCTATGCATTGTATGGTTAGTGGTAATACGTAATCTATTTGCCATCTAGTATTTCCTGTTGCTCGATTCGCAATTATCTTTGCTTAATTTGTAATTAATGCATTTTTCTTTTGTTCTTCAACATTTTCTTTTCATTACGCTACATTTATTATTTAAACGAATCTTGGATTTGTTTGTTCTCTTATAAAGTATTTATTGTAGTGTTGACCTTCTTATTATGTTCACCCACTTGATAAGACTTTTGCTTTGTGCGTAAATGGAAGATTTTCTTGTTGTGATGATTGCGTGGAAAATTCCACGACGAACGCGTGTGTGCGTGTGTGTGTTGGGGGAAAGTTGTGTGAATTGAGAGTTAATAATTAAACTAGTTTTCAAATAATTTTCATATTTTAAGCAAATCCAAAAGGAAGAAATAACTTTTATTTCAAAAATGTTTACTCAAATGGACTGCTTATTTTATTTGTAGTTATTCAATTCCAGTAAATAAAATGTCTTCATTCTTTATTTGATAAACATAAAATATGAATATATTTTAATTTACATAGATCCTATATCAAAAGGAAAACTCCCTTAGTACTCAATTTTGGTGGCATAAATACTTTAAAATTTAAATAAATGTAGATCTTAACAAAATATTAGATAAGAGTATAAATTTTACATATTTGAATAATGTACCAGATTGTTCTTGTAAAAGCAAGAGATCCTAAACAATTGCGAGAGAAATAGAACGTAACAAAAGAGAGTTGAACATTTTGTGTGAGAGCCAGTTTTGAAGAGGGTGGAAATGGAAAAGGCAGAAAATCGAAGAGCGAGAGAGAGAGAGAGAGCGAAATAAAATCTCGAAGGGTTGCACCGCTTTGAGTACCTTTATCTGGTAAATAATTGCATACCTGCTGATTAGGTACCTGGGAAAATATAGATATATATGCAATAAAAAGTTACAAAAAGAAATCAAATATATATGTTAGCACTTTAATATCAGAGGTAATCGGAATCTATAAAATAAAAAGAAAGGAATTTAGTCTTCTGAATTTAAAGGGATTTTCTCAAATACATAAAATTAATGATTAAATAGTTTTTAAGTCGAAACTATCAGATTTGTAGATTTAAGGCAATATAAATTCTGCTTCTTTTTTCTAGAGAATTCCATTCTATTTGTAAATTTTATAGTAATATCGGCAAAAGCTTACACAAATGTAATATTAAATAATCTAAATGAAGATAAATTAAACACGAGAATGAGATAAGGCATCTTTGACGTCAGTTATTTGAACAGGTGCCAATATGTAACGCAGGTCAACGAACGCAATGGACTTAAATATAGACAACAAGGTCCTATGTTTAAGCCTGTTAACAATATTTACAAGTACTTAAGACGCAATCTTATCTTTAGTTGGCACTTGACTACAACTAATTGCCAGCAAACCAGTTCAATCTAGTATATTTACCTGTCTCAGAGAACTCAAACATCTGTTTTGAATCACAGCACGCAAATATTTCGTTTTTGAGCAACGATTGACGTATTTCTTGGTTACAGTCGAGTTTCTGGTCTAGGTAAATATATGCTTTGCCCTGGCAACCCCATGGCAAGGGCTGTGGTGGTGCTGCACAAAACCACCAAAACAAAGAGACAGAGAGCGAGAGAGAGAGAGAGAGAGAGAGAGAGAGAGGGCGGGCGAGAGAGAGAGTGCAGGGACCACATCCCGGGGCGTCGATGAGTCAGTTTTGTTGTACTTTGCCTCAGTTTATTATTGAACGCTCAGCTGTGAGGAACATTCGACTTGACTCGGAACAACATTAAAGACTTGCGTGCATACGGAATTGAGACATCTGATTTTATATAATTAGATTTACACTTATATACCATATAGATTTACATCTTTATTGAACTTTTGTAAAACATAATACGCGTAGTATGAGACAACGTAAACATTTAAATAAACACAAAACTCGTCGTCAAAAGCAGCAAAAATTACCAGAAATTGATGAGAATTGTTGTAAACGCCCTCGTTGTAATTATGAACATATCTGGCAACATTTTCGACGCAATGTAAGCTAACCACAAGTATTTATATACAATATAGTATTTTACTGCAGGGGTTTTTTTTTTTAATATTTTTTTTGCTCTTTGCTTTTAAAATGTACATTTTTTAAATCTCCTTCTAACTTTGGGTACATGTCAGTACCTTTTTGGTACACGACAGTTGTCTACCAAGATTCTTAACACCATTTTGGTTTTCAAGTCTTGTTTCGTAATAAAACCCAAGTTTTTCTGGTACATATTGTGATAGTACCAAAGTTTTCTTAATAATATTTATTGTACGATTGCCTATGCCATTATCTAGTATATAGTGCATTAGTTTGTTTGCGGACATATTGTAAAGTACATTTCAGCAATGGAACAATTCTTCGATTAAGTTCAGTCTTACCATCTATTTTAGAAATCAAAGTACCTAAGTTTTGGTACAAGTCGGTCAGGTTTAGTTTTATAGCTTACTTCTGTTTTGGTGTTTGTTTTCTATGTGAAGAGTACTTGTTTATTATTGTATTTAGTCATTCTTGTTTGGGTATAATTATTTGTTTGTCCACTTAAGCTATAGTATATACTTTCATAATATACTTAGCACTTAGGTACATGTCAAATAGGTAAGTTTTTTTTTAATTATTTGAGGTTCCACACTTGGTATTTTAAGTTCTTTAAGCTGTTTATAAATAAATTGACTGCGGTTTTAGTTCACACTAGTTAACATGCCACTTGTTTTAGCTCATTGATACGTGTATTCTATATAGTACATGTTAATTGTGTACCAAAATGTTGTCTAGCAGGCTCAAGGTCTTGCAGTTGTTCTAAAAACACATTGCCTATTTGTTGTCTTTAAACTTATATGCCATTTTAAGCACATGCAAATGCTTATTATATTTAGTACACCATCCCCAAAAGCCCCTCCCGGGCACGGGTACGAACATTTGTTTTGTCAATTTGAAAAACGTGAAAACCATTTATTGCCGCTCTCCGTAACTTAACGCATGCTCTCTCTTCTCGGTTTCTCTCTCTTTTGGATTTGACGCTCTTGGCACCAATCCAAATAGGCCACACTCGAGGAAATTCGCCAAGCGGCTTCTCGAATTTGCCGCGACTATCTAACCGGGCGCTGGAAGGTGGTTACCCCAGAACAGCTTGTGGTGAAGCGCATCAGGTGAGTTCTAGAGGTCTTGTATGCAATAACCACAAAAAAATTGAAATTCGAACTGTTTCTTTTCGTTCTTCCGTTTTAGTGGCGGCCTCTCGAATTTCTTGTATTACGTAAGTCTGCCCGACTTGGATGATTTCGATGAGCAGCAATTGTTGGAGGTGGAACAGCAGCAAGGAAATGCCAACGTCGTCAGCATTGGCAAGCACGTCATAGCCGCCTCGGTATTTGCCAAGAATAGCAACAGCAACAACAACAACAACAATAATAACAATAACAGCTACACGGCAGCTGCTGTCGCCCCGGAGGCGGCCAAAAATTTGGCACAAACTGTGGTTGTGGGCGTTGATGAAGCCACCAGCCCCACCCCTGTACCTGTGTCTGTCGCCGACGATGATGACGACGCAGCGCTGAGCGCCAAGCAGGCAAACAAACGGCGACGCTTCGATAGCGACAGCGGCGACTCGAGTTTGCTGAGGCGGCTGCACACCCCCAAGCAGGAACCACGTGAGGTAGGTCGGTCGATCGGCATGCCCAAAAATAAAATTTCGTCGCCAAAAACTTGATAACCTGGTATGCAAATATTGATAATTAATTCTTATCAACAGGTTCTACTGCGCATCTATGGCCAAACCCACGGCGATCATGCATTGGAGAGCATGATCACCGAGTCCGTGGTGTTTGCCTTGCTAAGTGAGCGCAATTTTGGACCCAAGCTACATGGCATCTTTCCCGGTGGACGCATCGAGCAGTATATACCGGTAGGTTGGCAAGGAAAACAGCTCTGATAATTTCATCGAGCTTGGCCAGAGAAAATGTGGAAGTTCGATGAGAAACTCAGCCAGAGAATAGCAAATTGTCAAAGAAAAGAAAAGACACTGATCAGGAATATTTGGTATTAATGAATTTGGAGAAGTCTTCGCCCAAATTTAGTGTTACAGTTCTTATAGACTCTGCAAGGTATTAAAGAGTCGGTTAGTTTCCATCAAATCTCTGTGTCAATGCTTATAACTGGCAGCAGAGATTTTCGATTTCATAAAGAGCATAGGGAATATTATCCTATTGAAGAATATATATCTAATTCTTTAAAGAATAAGCTAGATGTGTACATATATTATTTGTAAATATCAGTATACCATCCATTTTTGTATAAAACTTAGTGTGAGAGATAGTAATTTTGTTGTGTCTAAGATAAACATAAACATATTTAGACATATTCAATTATGATAAGGTAAGTTGTCTTACCTTCGGAAATCATATATAAGACCTAAGTTATTCAGAGGAAAAGCTAAATACGAATTAAATTTATATGACGCCTGTCATGAAATAATTTTTTCTCTGATGTGGTCTTTCTGGCTTGTGTAGATTTATTGCCAATAAATATAAGTATGTCGCCTAATAAAGTAGATAATATCTTAATGCATGGTATTCAACGGATTTAGTTTAGTTTCCATAATTGATTAGACAGCTTCATCTGGTCTATTTGTAGTGTCTTTTAGGTAGAAACATTATTGAAGAAGCTGTAGTATTAAATTTTTTAGTTGGGAATTCTAATTTCAATCTAATTTTAAACAACCTCTGTACTCAACCCAGACCCGCTAGGTTCTGGGTATCCTAAAGCTCGTCGACTTCTAACTGCTCCAAAAATGTAATAGATATAAAATATCATAAATAACAATTCGATATATTCATATATTTTATAGGCACGACCGTTGGCGACCACAGAGCTGGGGGATGCTCGCATTTCGATGAAGATTGCTGAGAAAATGGGCGAAATACACAGCCTGAATATACCAATGTCCAAGGAACCGGATTGGATCTGGAACTGTATGGATCGTTGGCTGGCCAGCTTGGAGAGCATTGTGAAGGGCAAGATTGAATCGAAGCCCAATTCGACAGTGCTGCAAAAGCAACGGAATTTAATGCGCTCCATTAACTACGTGCAGGAGATAACCTGGCTGAGATCGGTGATAGATGCCGGCGCCTATCCCGTTGTCTTTTGTCACAACGATCTGCAAGAGGGCAACATATTGTTAAGGCAATCGAGCAGTGGGCAAGAGCGTACACCAAGGGAATCCATAAGTATCTTGCGGTGGGTTCAATCGACTAGAACTCATCAATACACTGTGTATACTAATTGAAGTCTTATCTCTGCCATAGATCCAACTTTGATGAGACCCTGGGCGACAGCCTGGATGGCAACAGCAATTTGGATACGGATGACAAGTGAGTTGTATATAATACTATATAGTTTTGCGCTAACCTCCATACTTCTCTGTTGGCCGCTAACCAGTATTTATTTGCCAATTGCTAAATTAGTCCTTAAGTTATACATTATATATACATATAGATCTATGTGCTCGCTTGCCGATATAAAACTACCTTAAATTCTAGATGGCCCCTTGCTGCGGTCGTGAAATTGAGTAAAAATTTATTGAGCTGGTTGTAAAAATCGGCCTAAGCAAATTACCAAATACATACAGGTTATCCATGCCATATTATGTTATATCTGTTGCAAATTGAACTAATCAAATTTCTCCCCCCCGTCAAATAAAAATCGTTCGCATTCGCATATAGCAAATCGCCAAGCGCCTCACCATGCGCCGAATTGGACACCACAGATGATTCTGCACTGGACTCCAGTTTTATGTCCGATCATGAGCCGGATCTCATTATCATTGATTTTGAATATTGCGCCTACAACTATCGGGGCTTCGATTTGGCCAATCACTTCATCGAATGGACATTCGACTATACCAATCCGCAGTTCCCCTACTTTCACCATTATAAAGAGCAATATTCCACGGTTCAGCAGCGGCGCGACTTTATTGTCAACTATCTAAAGAAATATCATGATGATGAGCATTACGAGCCCAATGTCGAGGAGCTCGATACGGTCGATGCCGAGATACGGCTATTCACAATGCTCTCACATCTCTTCTGGAGCCTCTGGTCCGTGGTTAATGTTACCTCCGCCATTGAGTTTGGTTATTGGGTAAGTTTTATAATAAGTATAGATGGTGGTTAGAAAAAAATTGGGTAGAATACTTTTGGAAAATATAAAACTCATTATATAGATAATTTGATACAGGTCAACTTAGGGAAACTAGGTGGGAGGAACATAACAAGTTAATTTTGTTAGAAAATGTACTTGCGTATTATTTTTTATAAGATTATTTAATATGCTTAAAGCAAGAGGTTATACGACCATAATTTTTATAGAATAGATCAATCGCAGACTGGATTTATATATCTTAATTCTTTGGAAACGTATTAGACAATTTACTTAAACCTATCACATATAATATAAGCACAGTATTTATATTGTTATTGGTCCAACTTTTGTTATGTCATATTAAATAATAAAATATATGGGTAAATTCTTTTCCCGGCAATACTTCCTGTATAAAACACTCGTAAATCGGTCAAATTGTATTCTTATCTAAACTATTTTGTCAAAAAGACATTTAATTCTGAGAATATATTGTTTGAATCAAGGGGTTTATATTCACTATCAAGTGTTTAATTTATGAATAAATATGTTTGTTCTAAGAACTATCAAGGTTTTTTTTTAACTAGGTTTTGGTAAATCAAATTGTGATCTATATATAATAGTTTTTATAGCTAAACAGATTAGATTAGATGTTGCTTAACAATTTATTTCCTTACATACTTATAATGGCTGTCATATACTAAACCAAAAGTGGTTTGCTTTTTCGTCTAATTTCTGTCTCGAGCAATATTAATTTTGTATTTATCATAATATTGAGAATCAACTAATTCTTTATTGTGTTGTTCTTGCAGGAATATGGCATTTCGCGCATACTGGAGTATCAAAAGCTAAAGTCGGCCTATTTGGCAAAATGAATTTCGGCACTTGAGGATCAAATTTGATGGTGAAAGAGTCAATATCATCAAACCGCACTTAATCGAATCGTAAAGCGTGCTTAAGTGGCCTTAAACTTACAAAACAACAAGAACAAGAAAAACTAACATTTTCACCCCCAAAAAAATCGAAGTTAGGAAACTTATTTTCCAGCTTAGTTATTGCAGTTGATCAACTAGTTGACAACACACTACTTCATGGACTATATGTGCTATATAATTAGGATTGAGCAGACCCATTTACATATATACATACCTATGATATGCTGTGCGTAGCTAGTGCTATGCATGCTTATACATATATTATTATGATATATTGCTGAGAAGAAAAGTCAAAAGAAAATTTGCAGCTGTGATTATTGCGTGAGTTAAGCAGAAGACAACAATTTTAGCTAGTTACGATTGTTGTTGCTTTAGATATGGGTGGCATTATATACTGCCCCATCTACTAAAGTTTCATTCAAGTATTAAGACAGCACTAACTATCTAACGCTACGACTAACTAGCGCACTATCTTACACGGCTCTAAAATTCCTTGCATTTTCATACACACACACCCACACACATGCCACAGACCATACGTTAATTTGTTCGAATTTATTTGTCGTACGAATTTGTTATCCCTATTTGCACAAAATGCACTCTTGGTTTTATATAGTATTATTTTTTAAACATATAATACCCATCGGGATAGAAGCTTTTCCATTGCCAAGTTATTAAATTTGATTGTATTCTTTAAACTTGATTCCCAATTTCGGATAACAGAAAGCAGCAGCAACAATCAACAACAAATTGTGTTTTTTATGTACCTATCTATATTCCTTAAATGAATTTAGTTATAGTATATATATGTAATTAGTATTTAGTACTTTTGCGTCTATTTTTTAATGCAATCAATAAATCAAAAATTTAGTTAAAATTTAAAATACATTTTGTATATATATTTCAACTGGTGCATTTTGTGTGATACGTTTCTGAAAGTATTACATGAGTTTATTTAATGCGAAATTCAAAAATTTCAGATCCTCAACTATGTATTTTGATTCTTCTTTTAAAGAATTAAAATAGTTTTATAGTAAGCAAAAGTGTGAAATCGAAAATATAAGCGAATTGGTGGAGCAAACGGTAGACGGACTTTGGTCCATATTTAAACTAGTGTAAATAGTTTGGGGTTTGGAATAGTTATCAAAATGCTACCTCTTGCGTTTAAAGGCATTTATTTGAATAATTTTGCGAGGGTAAATAAAGTGCAAACGTCGGACCTTGACAAATGACAACAATAACAAAATAACAATTAAAATAAAGGATAACGATAGGAAACTGTCAAAAGGAGGCTGACAAAGAATTAAGGTAAGAAAACTTTAATTTTATATAATTGTTTTTATTATATTCTGAACTTTGAACAATGAAATATTTTAATGAAAGAGCGTATTCTTATTTGAAATTATGATTAGTATACATAAATTATGTTGAACGGTAGATTGGCTGATAGATTTAAAAGTATATCGATCGATTGATATCGATAGGCTTTTACCAATTATGTATTGGCTTTTTTACTTAATTCTTACAATATTTAAAAAAAACATGAATATGGGAATATAATAAACCTGAGCAGGCAAAATACTCATGAAGACATCTCTTACCTTATAATATAAATATTTTTTTGATACGTGAGTTCTTATATAAAAGACACAGAGGTTACATAATTTATTCCGATAGCCCCTCACTTATGCATATTAAAATCGATAAATATCGATATCAATAACAAGTGTTAACAAATGAAGACTAGTAAATTGGTTAGCGTACAACTTAAATACGTCCAGAATATTTTACTTTTAGAACATCTCCGGACTTACCCATTCTTCAATGTTGAAGCATTTATCAACGAATTTTAATTTGAAGTTTATGCGCACATTTAAATGTCATCTGTATGCCCTGAGCATTCCATGATTGTCATGAAAATAAACAAAAAACCTATTTAGAAATCAATTTTCCACAGAGCGGGAGGTTGAGCTGAGTAAAAACACAGCTGCTGCAAAAAGTGCGCAGCTTGGGGGTGTGCGTGTACTATATATGTGTATGTGTGAGTGTGAGTGTGCATGTGTGTGTGCGTGTGCAAATACTATTATGGGCGGGGGCATATCCTAGTCGGTTACCCGGCTAAATTTAATATTATTTTTCTTTTAATAATAATTATTATTATTCTAAAGAATATATAACTTTTTATTTTATTATTATTAGGAAAAATATTAATAATGTTAATAATATTAATGAGAATAAAGAGCTTAAGAATATTAAAAGTTATAGTAAATAATACTATTAATATTATTATTATTTTTTTTGTTTTTATTATTAATAATTATTATAGATATATTAATTACAATTTTAGGGATTTCGCAATGCAATAATAAAAGTTATGATTATATGAATAATGTTAATACCATTATTATCATTCTACTTATTATTAATTTTATTATTATTAGAATATAATTATTAGTTTTAGTAATATTATTCTATTTAATCTTTTAATTCCTATTACTGTTATTTACATAATTATTCTGTTTATACTTGTTAATATTGCGGACTTCCAAAAATCGTTTGTGGCATTTTAAAGAATTTCCATTTGATTGATTGTACTCAATGTTGCTCGACTTGTTTTGCAATCACTTGACCGTAGCTCACTTTAAGGCTGGCAAGTGTCAAACGTCAGGCCTTGCTGTTAATTTCCTTGGTAAGGAGACAGCCCAATTACGCAAATCCTTTGACATTAATTCAAAACACAATGAGCTGACGCCGCCGTAGCTGGCAGGACCACAAGGACAGCAAATCGTACAATTGCCAGGATGCGGCCCCAAACAATGCAGCGCATCTTTAATTAATGCAACAATCACAGGACAACAGAAGGACTATTTAAATGCCTGACAGGCTGGCAGTCAAGTCAGTCAGTGAGTGTGCCTCTCGCTGCACAATGGCTATCTGCATGTCCTTATTCATGTACCATGTGCCGGGTCTTGTGTCCCGTGTCCCATATCCCATTTCCCATTTCCCGTCTTCCGTCTCCCTATGGTCATGTTGTTGTCTTGTCTTGCCTTGCGGTTTCGGACTGCACTTGAAATCATTTGAGTAAGGGTGTTGAGGAGAGGGGTATGGGCGGGTGAGTTGTGTGGTGCTCGGTGCTTTATGCTCGTCTAATGTAATGTACGCCTCGGCGGGCAGAAGCAATCCAAAGCAATTGTCTGCGGCTAGTGCTGAACGAGTGTCCTGCCAGGGACAACTATTGTTTAAATAAGTACAGCTCCCCTAGCTCCACCCAGCAGCCCCACCGCCGCCCCCTGCTCCTGTTGACATACGGGAATACAAAATAGAAAATGATTTTCGGATTGCACTGCGACAAGGCTTCAATATTTCGACTACAGCTGCTACGTGATGCACTTTGATTTTGATGATGATGAATTGTTATGCAGTCTTGCATCCTGTCCAAAACCATGTTCTGGCCCATGTCCAGAGCTCTGTCCAAGCTGTGCGCTCGCCTGCATTTTGACCGAAACTTAATTAGCATTGGGCCAAGACTCGAAATCAAATTAATTAGCAATACGATGGCACTCGCATTGCAGCTGATTGAGCATTTGTGCTAGTCATAAGTAAATTTGATAAGACGTGATAACAACCTCAGCATATTCCATGAGAGCTGAGACATAATCAACAAACACATTCCAGCCACTTAGCAAAGTCGATACAGCCCTTGAATTTATCTCAACGGATTTTAAGAATCTTTTACAAGATTTCAAGGAATCAACCTTGTGTCTCTGAAGTCGGTGTAAAGTTGTTGGTATTGCATTATTGAAGCCATTTTCAACTTTGGGCATATATGTATTTGAATTATATTTGATTAGCATTCGATTAAGACAGATCCGTCTGTCTATCTCGTTGTTTCCTTGTCTTTTTGCAATATAAAGCTTTATTGATTAAAGTTAATTAGTTCCAGTCGCTATAGTTAGACAGATTTGTATCGGAATGTTCAAATAAAATGAAAAACTGGATAAAAAAGGATTTATAAAAGAGAATTTTTTAATTAATAACATAATATATTATCGCATTAATGAAACCTAAACCAAAACCAAAAGCAATTAAACACATAATTATTTTTGAACAGTTTGAGTCCTTGTCACGTCGTATTACAGCTTGATATCCACAACTTTATCAATATTTATTTTAGTTTCAATTTTAGAGTCTACCATCTACGCACTTCCTTCCGACCGGAAGCGGAAATCCACCGCCTCCTTCTTCGTTTGTTTTATTGTTGTTGTTCTTGTTTGTTTCTGCGGTCAGTTTTGTGTTAACTTTGCTGGCCGTTCTGTATATAAACTGCTTCTAAATTACTTTGACCAAGTTCTTCGTCTCGCTTTTCTCTTTTACTTTTTTTGTTGACATCATCTGTGCCTGAGCTAACCAGCTCGTCTTCCTCTTCTCGGACAAGATTTGCACTTCCGCAACAAAAAAAGAATAAAGGCAAGGAAAATGGAAAACTTTACCCGGCATTGTTCTTGTCTACGCCTGCAACATGCAACTGTCTGCGTCTATGTCAAGCTGGTGCCCCTCCGAATGCCCTTGGGTGTCCTCACATAGATCCATCCGCCCAGTTCATTGCACCCCCTCTCCCCCTTCTGGGCTCGCACATTGTCCAATTGCAGCTAAAGTTGATTTATTGTTTGCATTTTTACAACTTTTGTGTCAGTTTCTGTATGGTTTTTCATTTCGTTTGACTTTGGCATCTCTTTTTCTTTTCGGTATCTTGAGCTCTTCTTTGTTTTTGCATTATTGCTTCACATATTGAAATTGTCAACTTGGGGCCATTGGTCGAAGGTCCTTGACTGCAGCTAAAGGCGACCAAGTTTTATGGCTTTAAAATTGTTAAATGATTTATTTGAATAGTTTTGATGTACTTAGGAGTTCTCAAGTGGCAATCTTTCGATAATATATACAATATTATATGCGTGGAAAAGTGAAGGAAACAACTTTCAATGCAATTCTATTCTTCTTCTAATATGTAATACAGTTATATAATTATCGCGCAATAGACTAAAAATATAAAAATAAATATGAAAAATAATGATCTAAATATAATTGAACTCTTTAATTATAATTACTTTATGCAATTGTATATTACTTTTGATTAACTTAAAGGTTTTAAATTGGAAATATTTTCATTTTATTGCTCGCCTTGCAGCTGCAGGGCTTTTTATTTTAACCAATTGCTTAACACTTTTTTGAAAGTAAAATATTTTTCATCCAGCTTTTTCCACTCAGACAAACTCTTGTAAAAGGGGGCCAGCTCCTTCAGATACCAATATTTATTTAATTCAATTCAAATTTTCTCTCTGCACCCAAAATGGACCCCAATAATTTCTTGTTATGAGTTGACAATTTGATATAGTAGCAGGGTGAGACATGTCTCATAAAGTAAATGAGAAGTGTATAAATTTTTGTCAGGCCATTTACGCGCATGGAACTGACTCGAAATTACATATTTCAGTTGACTTGACTTTTTGGCAAGCTAATTTTAGAGTCGACAAGTCACAATGCCGAGCCCCATCATCAGTCAAAAGTGGGTGCTGGCATCTACGGCGGGGCTCGCCTTCATCTTAAGGTCGCCTGTGGAAAATTTAAAAAAACAAATTATTTTGAAATGTTGAGTAAAAACAATGACTGCTCTTCTCTTCTGGGTGGTAGGTCAGGAATACTTCTATAAAAATTAATTATTTAAGAGCGTCACAATGAAGCGCTTAACGTGGCGTATTAAATCAATGAAATGTTGCCTACTTTTGTGCGTGCTTAATTTTGTTATGGCAGAGCGAGGGGGAAAGAGAGTGTCAGAGGAGAGAAAGGTAGGCATTTAAGAAATGAGACATTTTG